GCTTCCTTTTGCTGACCCCTCACCCAGACTTGGCTTTTGGCACCTTTTAGTTTGTTAAGTTTGTCCCAAAATTCTAGTAGGCAATTCTGATTTGCTGTAAAAACAAAAAAACAAAAAAACAAAAAAACAAACTGATTTTTCTGTAAAATAGTTAACTGTGTCAAAATAGACAATACAAAATTTACTATTTTATCCATTTTCAGGATATAATCCAGAAATGCTAAATCTACTCATGTTGTTATATAACCAATTCCAAAATCTTTTCATCTTACAAATAGCAATTCTTTACCCATTAAACAAGGAGCCTCCCTTCTGCTGTTCCTAATCCCTGACAGCCACCATTCTTCCTTCTGTTTCTATGAATTTTGGTGATTTTACATGCCTCATATACAAAGACTCAAACAGTATCATCTTCTTAGGACTGGCTTATTTAACTTAGTATAATGTCTTCAAGCATGTGTCAGAATTTCCTTCCTTTTAAGACTAATTTAAATTAAAAGTAATTGTTTTAATTTTTATCATGATATTCTTATTCCTTTGCTTATGAGATTTGTCCCATTCCTTTAGCTATTATTTTAGTGGACTTTTAAGAAGCAGAAATAAATATGTGTATCCAATCTGGCTTTCAAAAGGAAATCCATATTCTGTTTTGTGAAATGTGATGTTTAAAGACATACTCTTTGATGCTTTAAAAAGCACTTTAAGTTTGCAGGACCCCTTAAAGAAGAATAGAATACATAATGAATTTGCATCTAGTCTACATTGAGCCTAAGTAAATCTTATGCTTTGATGTTAAATAAAGAAATAACTTCTGGAAGATATAAGCTCTTGCACAGGGAATCCAATGCCAGTGGTTCCCAAAGTGTGGCTCTCAGGTTCCAGCCTACAAATCATCTGAGTATGCAAATTCTTGGGCCCCACTTCATACCTGTTGAGCCTAAAAGTCTCGGAGTGGCACCCAGCACTCTGGTTAAAGCATTTTAACCAGACTTCTATGGATTCTGCTTCTTGCTAGGGCTTGAGAATCTCTGTGTTCTAGACATAGCTCTGCAAAGCTGCATCTAAAGATTCAGCATTTTACTTAGTTTTAGTCTGAAGTCTAAGATTTCCAGGTTATGAGGTCACCACTGTTTAGCAGATACACTATGAGGTGCCTGTACCACTCATAATCCAAATATTTGGAACTTTTCTTTGTGGAAGAGGCAGGCCTTGTCAAGTATTTATACTCTCACTACCTCATCCTTCAGCCCAGTGGCTGCACTGACAGACCACCTCAGTCAAGGTCAAGTAATTTGTAGGACGGTCAAAATGAACTAGCTGGATTTGATTTCTTGAGAACCTTAATAGATATGCCCAAACCGTAGTCACCTATGAAAGGCTGAAAGGATGCAAAATGGGGGGCTTAGGCAGAACAGTTCCTGTATCCTTTCAACTGCCTGATCTTCATTTCTTTCTTTTTCTTTTCCTGTGAGTGGGTATTTGTTTCTTGCACCAGAGTGATTTGATCAGGATACATCTTAACTATTGATAGGAAATGCTGGGTGATTGATTGATCATAGTTATTATTCTGCATGGTAAAGCTTGACCAAGCTATTGGTTGTCCTTGCCACTGTCTTGTTTTGGCACTTGAAGTAAACCGATACTTCTGTTCAATAACTGTTTAATTTTGTTCAGTTTGGTAACATTCTTGTTTTATTTCAATGCTGAGCTCTTAGAGTTGTTTCACAATTGTTTCTAGGCAGATCCTCTGAGAAACTAGTGCAAATTGCTTTGTAAATCAACAACCAAAGAATCAATACCAGTGATGTTCTTTTAAAGAATTCAAGATAAATAGTCCCTATAAGGCTCTGTCATTGCACTCCAAGGTTCAAAAGCAAATATCCTGCCAATGAAAGCAAAGGAAATCACACGATATTACCAAAAGGTTACGTGGTAGTGATTAAAAGCCAGAACTGATTTGAGAAGTGAATGTTTGTTCTGAGAACAATTCTAGCATAGTATAATGGGAAGATTAGGATGAAGCTTTTTCTTTCTGAGGTCATGATTATTGACTTAAGAATTGATGCAAACAAAAATTGTCAGAGAGCTGTTTGCAAAGATGGCTTAAATCCAACAGAACTGCTTTTAATATTATATTATTGTAAACCTCCCAGGATGGAAGACCAATAGGTCATCTAATCCAATTATGCATTTCATGCCTGAATCACTTCTATCATCCTAAAGAAATGAGAACTCCTGGCATTGTGACTGATGACAGAGAACCATCTACCATACCTCATATATAAATCTACAAAAAAATAAACAGCTGGGTATGATGGCATACGTCTTTAGTCCCTGCACTTGGGAGCCAGAGGCAGGCAGATATCTGTGAGACTGAAACCAGCCTGGTCTACATAGCAAGTTCCAGGCCAGCTGGGGCTACAGGAGCCCTTGTCTCAAAATAAAAAAAAAATAAAAAAGAAATAAAAAAGAAATAAATGAAGTTGGAAACACAAGCTGGAGGATGATACTTTAAAATGTGACTCTTGTGCATGCTTGGAAGAGGAGTACCTTCTTTCTTCTGTCTTTAGAGAAAGGTGTTGAACACTGTGACAGAGACTAATAGTTGTCTCCAGATTTAGTTTTCTTGCATCCCCAAGCATTTGGTTGGCACTTAACTGCTTGAAATAAAGAGCACATCCCAAAGGTTTCCTTATATGTTTCAATTGTTATTGTTGTGCAACAAATTGCCTCCAAAATTTATAGGTTAAAACAATCATTTTTATTACATTCACCAACCCTATGGATCAGGGCTTAGGACAGGGCACCTGTCTCAGGGCCAGCATGACTTCTAAATGCACGATTGGTCAAAGCAGTCTCAAGCCCACTCACACTCAACTCCTGTAGGAATGGCTAAGTCACACCATAGAAGAGCAAAGGGGCAGGAGGTACTATGCTTTTCCCTACAGAAATTGCAATTTGCATGGCCATTAAATGTTAGCCAAAAGAGTAGAGGAGGTATTGGTGTGATTGAGTTTCTGGTAGAGTCCTTCAAAGGGTGTGTGTTGTGGGGAAGGGAGGCTGCCTTCTCTTTTCTATACTCTCATTAGCTGACTTATACATGAGATGACTGGGTGGAGTAACCATTTTGGACCACAAACAGAATTAAAGAGCAGTGGCTTGAAGGAGGTTGGGTTCCTGATTATCATTGAGTACCATACAGGCCCTCAATGGCCCGCTTTACATGACAGAGAAATACAAGTCCATCTTATTTTAACTAGTATAGCATGCACTTTTTGCTGCATATGAACAATTCTATTCATAATTAAATGAAATATCATTATAAATGAAGACAGATGATACAAATGCACCTTAGATTATTGAACCTGTGAAAGAACACCCATATGGTAGAGAACAGGCCTAATATTGTGCCTCAATCAATCACATGTGAGGATTACCATATTTTTTGAGTATATTTCTTAAATGCTTGACAATTACAATAAAAATGCATTTTATTTAAAAAAAATAACAGAATACTATTATCATGAGGTCGATTACAAAACTGAACTACAGAAATTCACTCATGGAATAAATATAAGATGTATTTTTATAACGGAAAGTAGTTGAATTTCTAATTTCTAGTTTTTTAAATTTCCTGAGTCATGTATTTTCTCTTCTGTGTGGGTGGAAAGGTAAATGAGAGTGACTAAGGGAAGCAAATAAAACTAAAGAACAGATATGAACAGTGTAGAAAATGAAGCACATGTATTTAGACAGCATTGATTTGGCAAAAGAATTTTCTCTGTTTCAAAATTACAAACATTTTCAGAATAAGCTCATTTCCAAAGGAAAAAAAAAAAAAAAAAAAGAATTTTGCTTGGCGTGATGGCACTTCGCCTGTAGTCCCAGCACTTGGGAGCCAGCTGGGGTTACAGGAACGCCCTGTTTCAAAAAGACCAAAAAAAAAAAAAAAAAAAAAAAAAAAAAAAAAAAAACCACACACACACAAAAACCCCCCAAACAACAACAAAAAACCCCCCAAAAAACCAAACAAAAACAACAAAAAAAACCCCAAAACAAAAAACCCCCACTATACTTAAAGCAAAAATTTGTAGTTCTATTTCTGCTTACATTGACATACTCAAATTTTAGAGACTTAATTGAAATGACTCAGTATCAAGAAAGGCTTTAAAAGTAAGCAGTAAGAAACTAATCAAGCAAAGCTCCCTTTGGGTTCAGACCAATTGTCCTGACTACCATTTATCCAGCTTGCACTATCCTGTCGGAAAGGTATCGGCTAACTTTGCTAAGTGTTTCACAGTAAATGGCGCCTTTGTCCCAGTAAATAGTAGGGAATGCACCAAGCACACCGTGGCATAGCACCGGCAAGGCAAAACATCACAAGGCGGCTAAGAAAAGACTGAATAAGACCTAATGAAAGAAGGAAGCTGTCACAAAGACCGGCCACTTGTGTCTGTCCAAGAGAACCAGCACCGCTATAGAACTTGAACAAAAGGCATCACGAACATTTATCGAGCGATTGGATTCCGGGGGTTAAATAAAATGCCAGGACCGAGCTGGAGGTTGAAGTTTCAGGACAAATCCCGAGACACCATCTAGGCGAGGGTTTGCGGAGACTGACGTGTGGGGATTAGCGCGAGCAGCCCCGCCCTCCGCCTCGTGCACAGGTGGACCGCAGCCTGGGCCCCGCAACCCCTGCGCGTGCCGCAGCATCACTCCCCGCCCGCGCGCCCGCGCCTCCACCCCTCCGGGGCTGGAGCGAGAGGCGGGCACCAGCACCCGCTGGCAGGGTTGCCATGGCTTCCTGGGATCATGTGGTCGCGCGGGCGGGGCGGCGCGCGGGGAGAGGGCGAGGGGGGTGGTGCGGCGCGGCCACGGCGGGAGCGGGAGGAGCCCGAGATGCTGCCAGCCCT